AGTAGTATATATATATATATATATATATATATATATACACTCTTTCTTTGACGACTGTATCCTTCCTGCCGTTATTATCTGAACTAGCGATGCGTATTTTTTAACTCTTCTTTACATGCGGAAACCTAAGCCATATCTAGCTGATAGATTGCCCGCCTACAAAGCGAAGCGGCAGGTGTGATTCATGTGGAGGGCGTAGTCTCCCGTCGTACCCTCCTCTACCACCAACATCACCATTAGCCACAAGGTTTCTACGTGCTCGTGTAGTAACGACACTGCATGTGCGTGCAGTCACGCCGGCTACACACGATTGATGCGCGGATGCGCACAGTTTATTACATCCAATAGTAATCGCGCTTGCCGTCGAGATATTGTGCGGCCATGGCCTAGATTCCAGACAATATTATATATATATATTATAGGTATATATATATATAATGTATATTATAAATGTAGAGCATTGTGGGCATTATTTATAGGCTTGTGGTCAGCGTAGGCAGGGCATAAATTTATCAGCGACAAGGTTAGTGACGATGACGATGACGATGACGATGACGATGACGATGACGATGACGATGACGATGACGATGACAAGCAGGCGCAGTCTTCGTCACGACATACCGATGCTAAGACTCACACACCGCGCCCGCCAGGTCCAATTCGTCTTGGGTCCGCCTGTCACATTCTTTCCGTCTTGTCATAAGACATCGGTACTATTATGTGCCTGAAGAAGTTACGCCACATTCACGAAGACTTATTTTCAAACGTATATTAAATAGCTATAAACACACGCACACGCATACGCGCGAACGCGCATGCACACGTGAGCGCGTGAACACGGTAATCGTTCGTTTTGCACCTTTACCAACAGATTATTATATCATTACAGCTTGCCTTTTAAACCATTAGAAGCATTATATACATTAACCCAGAAACACAGCTACTAGACATCCGAGAACAAAGTTGCTTAAATGAGATAGCGACCTGTTTCCTAGGTGGTAACGAACTCGATCTCTAATTGTTCTTATATGTTTGCTCGTTTTTTGGCGTAAACACTCAGTGGGTTATTTGTTGTAACCAGTTGCTCGTCACGCAGCACGTATGCGACTTCTGTTGATGTGCTTACATAGCCAATAAACTGGTAAAACAAACTTTGAGGATAATACTTACTCTATGTACTTAGAGAGGCTATATACGTTTAATATCGTTGCCACGCCGACGTGTGAAACGCGTGCTGTATCTTACTTGCTCTTTCGCTCCTTCTCGCGTTATCACTTCCCGTCTAACTCTTCTCACTCTCTCTCTCTCTCTCTCTCTCTCTCTCTCTCCCATAGAAGAGGAGAGGACATGGGGACGAAAGGAGAGCGCAGAAGGAGAACAGGAAGTATAGAGCGAGGGCCATGAGGGAGAGACGTGGGCAGAAAGAGAGCGCCAAGAAGAAGACAGAGAGCAGAAAGAGAGCGCCCAGAAGAGAGACATGGGGACAGAAAGAGAGGGCCAGAAGGAGAAACAGGGAGTAGAGAGCGAGGGCCAGAGGGAGAGACGTGGGGCAGAAAGAGAGGCCAGAGGAGAACAGGGGGCAAAAGAGAGGGCCAGAAAAGGAAGTAGACGTGGGGCAGAAGAGAGGCCAAAGGGAGATGACAGAGGGCAGAGAGAGCAGAGAGCAGAGGATGAGACATGGCAGAAAGAGAGGGCCAGAGGGATAGAGAGGGGCAGAAAGAGAGGGTCAGAGGGAGAGACATGGGCAGAAACAGAGGGCCAGAGGAGAGACAGGGAGCAGAAAAGGAGGCCAGAGAAAGAGAGAGAAAGAGACAGGGGCAGAAAGAGAGGTCCAGGGGGAGAGACACGGTGGCAGAGAGAGAGAGAGGGCCAGAGGGAGAGACAATGGGCAAAGAGAGAGTAGAGAAAAGGTCAGAGAGAGGGGACGCGAACAAAGAACAAGAGAAAGTGGAAGAGGTTACAGCGAAAGAAACGCAATGTCAACAGTATTCCTTCGTTGTACACTCTGTGTCACTGTATGTTCTAACACTGACACAGGAATGCTCCTGAAAACCACCGCAACTACCGTCTAAACATCCTCAATACGCCTCCACCTGCTTTTACTCTGCTACTGCGCTGACGCGCTGCCAATGCGCCGTATACGTCGCAGCACTGCTATCTTAGCGCTATATAAATATAATATGCAGGGCAGCAAGCCCTCGGGCTATACATCTACCCCCCCCCCCGATGGATATATATCGAACCTCTCGTTACTACTGATATAATAGTATAGGTATATATAGCATATATTAGATAAACTTAGCACACGATCTAATAAGTATCTAGTGGTTTATAGCTTAACTAACGCTGCGTTGACTCGATGACTGCTCGCCCTCGTGGCGCGAACAGACCTTGTGTAATTTGTGTTGCCGTCGCGATGCGGCGCTGTGTCTCACCAGGACACTGCACGCGTTACGCGGGCGTCAACGATGGTTTTATGCAGTGCACACGCGCACGCACGAACACAGAGACACACGCACTCAAACTGTGCATCCACGGCACAGCACACACTTTATTAAGTTTCCACACACACACCACACACACACCACACACACACACACCACACACACACACGCCGCTCAGCGCGCGCTGCGCTGCGCAACGCACGCACGCAACGCGACGCACGCACGCCACGCACGGCACGCGCGCGCGCAACAACACACGACACACACAACACACACACACATCAACACACACACACACACACACACACACCACACACACAACACACACATATATATAACATATTATATATATATAATATATATAATATATATAAGCATTACCGCGTAAATGCCGGTCCATGTTTATCTGCAACAGCACGTATACACCGCACGAGCGCTCTCTATTCATGTTGTTTTGTGCACTAGGACGGCGGCGCGTACTTGTGTGTACAGATGACATTTGACCGCATTTATCGAGCTAATTTATCGGCATAATAATAGGCGAAATAAGAGTCGAGAAAACAATAAGACTTTGGTAGTAAAATACCTTTTGCGTTTAGTATTTTTTTTTATGAGACGTTGCAGTGAGTCGCCGTGGTCTGCATAGACGTGGGCATTTGATGCTGCACGCAGGTTAAGATAGCATCGTGCCCGTGAACCAGACGCCGCTTTCAGCCAACAACATCGTCTCGCACAGCGCATAGCTTTGAAAGATATATTATGGAAAGTTGTACTACTGACTACTGCCTATAATAATATATTATTATTACGAAGCAAGAAATAATAATAATAATAATTAATAAAAAATAAACTTTGTTTTCAATATTTAATCAATAATCAACTTCTATTCAATATTTTACAAATGAACACAAAGACGGCAAAGTGTTTCCATCTATAAATACGCTTAGCTGTGCACATGAACTCGCAGGTGATGTCAATTAAACGGAGGCATCGAAAAAGTGTGCAAGCGCCGAGGCCGCAAGCGGCGTTAACGTGTTACGGCCAACTCCCAGCGTCTGACGTATCTCCATTGAAGGACCGACGAATAATACGGAGCTTTAGGGAGTTGATGGACTGCCTTTTCCGCTACTGAACGGGACGTCGCATTGCTCCGACGAAGTAAAAATCAGTTAGCCGCCGCCGCCAGCAGGGCCGAACCACAGCAGGAGCACGGCCGCCGGGTCCGCTCATCGTGTAACCTGATAAGCAGTGCGTCAGAGCGATCATTTGGTCTAGCTCGTGTGAACATGAACGTCCGCATGCCCTCGCATGACCTTAAATATTCTGTGCCGGCCCCACTGCCTCGTATCTATGGGCTCCAATATTACTGATGCTTGATAGAGTAAACCTACCTAGGCCTAATACTAGCTACTCGGAAGCAAATAAACATATAAATCATGAAAGAGACACACACGTACACACGCACGCACGCACACGCACACGCGTGACACGCACACACACATGGCTTACCTAGTATCAGTTTTGAAGAATTTGCCATACAGTCGCTCTCCCGTGCCTGCATCTGTGGAAACATATCTACAGCGCCCCCTGTCGCCAGTCCAGGCTTCGTGCACGTGTCGTACGTGACCATGCCTTGTGAGAGGGATTAACAATTATTAGATATAATGTATACGTACACAAGCTAATAACATCATTTAACGTTAACATGAACATTGTTTAAACACAATTTCCTCGCCGCTGAACTTCAACCCTTCGACTGAGGAAGACTTGTGAAATGGCGTTATGGCGATAAATGGCGTCATAAGAGGTGCAATAAACATAACAACAAGAGCTAATAATACCTTTGTATTATCAGCTCTTGTTAACAATAATGATGATGATGATGATGATGATGATGATGATGACGATGATGATGATGATGATGATGATGATGATGATGATCGCGCTCGAAGCCGGTAAAACTACGCGTATGGTGGCGCCGTCACGCGGCTATGACGTAGAAAAGCGAGCCTACCGATCTCTACTCCAGGCACGAACGAGTCGTTGACGATGACGCCGTGCGCTGTGCCCCTGTCCTGGTTGAGGATGGACAGTGTCCAGCGCATCGCCTCGTACACTTGCATGCTCGCCGTGTCGATCAGGCCGCAGCCGAAGTTCTCACCTGAGAATGGCGCGAAAAGAAGAGGAGGAGCTTAGTCGTCTGCGCTGGCGTGCGAGCGTGCGTGAATCACGTATGCTAGAGAGAGAGAGGCCAAAGGGAGAGACGGGAGACAGAGAGAAAGAGAGGGCCAGAGGGAGAGACAGGGGGCAGAAAGAGAGGGCCAGAGGGAGAGACATGGGGCAGAAAGAGAGGGCCAGAA